CAGGGAGCCTGATGCGGGACTCGATCCCAGGACCCTGGGATCATGACCTGAGCCGAAGGCAGACGCTTAACCATCTGAGCCACCCAGGCGCCCGACCTTGAAAAAAATTTATCTGCCATCTCTATCTGTGCCTCGGGAAGCTGCATCATTAAATTAGCAGGTTTGTGTTTTTTTTTTTTTTTAAGCTTCATCTCAGAGAGAGAGGAGCGTGCACACGAGAACAGGGGGAGGGGCAGAGGGAGAGAGAGAATCTGGAGCTGATGCCACGCCGAGTGCGGAGCCCGATCTCACGACCTGAGCCGAGAGTCGGACACTTAACCGACTGCGCCGCCAGGCGCCCCGAGGTCTGTGCTCTCACTCTCCACAGCTCACGAGTACACCTGCGGACGGACCGGCAGGCAACAGCGGGGTCCACCTGCCTCATGGAAGGACTCCTCGCCATCAGCTGTGCACCACTCACAGGTCAGCTAATGTGGGCTGCTGCTGAAGGATTCCAGCCTATTATCTGTGATCGAACTCTGCATTAAAAGTTCCCACTTGTATTCCCAAATATCTGGAAACTAATAAACTTTTAATGGAAACCCGATATACTTTGTGGGCTGTATCCAAAGCAGAGAATTTTTTTTAAAGTCCCCATTTGTGGCAAACATGTCAGTCATTGACTCTCCAACCACACTCCTTTCTCATAAGGGTGCGGAAGGAACAGCCCCAAGTACCTCCGACTCCCACCCTCCCCGCACTGGCTGGAGCGGACAGGACCAGGAATGGGGTGGACGGATGAGAGACTGGGTTGGCTGGATGACGACAGGCATGTGAACGGGGTGGTCCCCGGTGCTGGAGCTAGTCGGCACCACAGCCAACCACTGCTGTGTCAAAGCAGAGGTGACAGCAAAGAGAGAAGCCATTAGCAAGCAGAGAAGAAAGAACTAGAACAAAGTACTCAGGGGAAAGAAGGGAAAAGAGCAGGACACACTACAAGAGACAAAAGAAGATTCCTTGTCAGTGACCTCCCCGTCCAGGTTCCAGCAAGGGCAGCAACGCTTTATTTCCCAGCCTTGGATGCCAAGCGCTTGCCTCCCGTGGGAAGATGCCCTTTGGCCGGTGCGAGTCTGGCATGGGATGTGCCTCCTGGCAATCCGAGCGGCTTCTCCCGCACGAGGCGGCTGGCTCCAAAGGAAGCTTCCCTGGCCTCTCCGTTTGGCCCCCATGCCCCACCTTCAGGTCTTCCCCCACCTCTATTCGCCCCCCTACTCCCAGATCATTCCACAAGCACACACAGGCCCTACTTCCTTCCACCCGAATAACACAAGACAACTTCCCTGAACCCACATTCTCACTGAGCCGGCACCGGGACACAAGTTCTCCACCCAGTGACTTGGAGTTTGTTTCCCCGTGCTCACCTCCCAGTCACCGTTCAGCCGCCCCCCAGGCTGTCCACACGAGCGCCCGCACTGCGCCAGGCCCCCCACGAGCACAGCCCTGCCAGCAGCGGCCAGGAGCTGGGCTGGCCTCCTCCGCGGGACGTCCAGGGGACCCCCCACCCGAGCCACCCATTGCTGGGCGTCTGCGCTCGCAAGGTCTGAGGTTCCCTCCCAGCCAGCTGGGCCCCCTCCTCCTCCCCTGCCCACCCTGTCTCAGGGCTGGAGAGCCCCCACCCCGACCCCGGTCCCTTGCCCTCTGCCAGCTTCACCGGCTCCTGAACCGGCATCTCCATCCTCTGCAGCCCTGACCTTCCCGCTGACCTCCAGGCTCACAGTCCCAGGGCCCAGGGACAGCTTCTATCTAACGTCCCCATCACCACGCCCAATTCCCACCCAGGAAACCAGCTTCTTCCCAGTACGACCCCCCTCAGAGCATCACACTACCATCTATCTACCCGGTGCTCGAGCCAAAATCCCAGCCCTGTCCTTCGTCCTGCCCTAAAACCCAGATACTCCACCACGGACGCTGCCAACTCTGTGTCCAAAATAGAGCTCACTTCTTCCCCGGGCTTCGTCTCCACCGCGGCCCCTGGGTCCCCTCGTCTCTCTCACTAGCAGCACAGGCACGTGACTCACAGCCCGTCACCCCGGACTTTCCCGCCCACCGTCCAGCCGGTTTTAAACACATCCATCACATCTCATCGCTGCCCTGATCAATCCTTCCACGGCTTTCCATCGCTCCCGGGATGACATCCAAACACTGTCGATCATCCTGCAGCAACTTGGCTCCTCGGTTCTTCCACGGCTCACATCACTCTTGCTCCACGCCAGCCGCACCGGCCAGATATTGCGAGTAAGAGCCCAGCCCCTGCTCCCCACGCAGCCCGTCTGTACTCTGAGGTCTGAGCATGGACGACACCTTCCAACAGTGCTCCTCCCCGACCACCCCAGGAAAGTCGGCCTCCCTGCCGACAGTGTCACTGGTAGGCAGGGGATGAATACAACCAGCAGAGTGTGATCTGCGTCCCGGGGCCACTCAGCCGCACTGTGGCCCTGAAACCTCAGCTGCCCGAGGCAGGCGGCTTTCGTGCCCCTCAGTGACCTGTCTCCACACTACACTGTGAGTTCCGAAAAGAGATAGGTAATCACTTACTGTCTGTCTCCCCCTGACGGCAGTAGACACTAAGCAAATATTTGAACAAAATCTGAAGCTTCCCAGCAAGTGTGAGAAATAACATTGCGGGCAGGGTAGGTACGTTCGGAAGCCAGTGACACGGCTAGGGGGTGAGGGCCTACCCTACGTGGGGGCCCGTGGGGAGGCCACTGGAGCGGAGAAGTGAGTCTTAGAGAGCAGCCTTGGGGAGACCTAGGAAAGGAGCACCTGGCCCAGGGAAGGAGGAGAACCACGAACACACTTGGCACGAGGCAGAGGTCGTGGAGGAGCGCTGCAGGGCCAGGCAAGGGCTCCAGGGCGGAGGGCACAGACCTGGACTACGTGTCACAGATGCAACCAGCTAGTGGCTACTACCATTCGTATTTTACAGGTAAGGAAAAGAAGGCACAGTGAGGTCACGCAACTTGCCCAGAGTCACACAGCCAGTAAGGGGAGGGCTGGTATTTCAAATCTAAGCGGTCTGACTCTATTTATAAATACATGTATAC